CCCCCCCCCCCCCCAAAAAAAAAAAGGAAGAAAAAAAAAAAAGAAAATATAAACAAACAAACAAGAAATGTGCATTTGGCAATTGTGCAAAACTGAAGTGCCAGTAGCTGTTACCATTACACTTATATTTAGGGACAAAAGTCTCATACACACGCACACTTAGGAAATAACCATAATATATTTTCTTTGAAGAATACCAAGATACATCAGTAGGAGGTAGATATATATATATATATGCAACAATTTGAAGAAAACTTATATTCTTTTGAATTAAAATGTTCATTTCCATAAACCTTTTTGACTCTCAGTTTGGTTACCAGATTTCGGACAATATACACACTATATGTACAAGTCAAACCTAAAAATATAAAGGAAAAAGGTTTCCATTAATGAAAAATCAAATCAAACTAATTTATCCAGGGGCAAGAAATCTTTGACATCTTACCTCCACCTTGGCTCTGTCCGGTGTTCTACAGATTGTTGTTTTCTGCAAACTGTTGAGCCAGTCTGCATGGGACTGGATGTATGGGTCAAAATTACATAATTTCCAAGACGAGTCACTAAGTTCACCAAATGTTATTTGTGTACCTAACCTAGTTTTGAGTGATTACTAGATGTACATGTGCTGCAGTATTTGTTATAGGGTTACACCTTTTTGTGTATTGACACATAAAGTTAGGCAACATTACAGTACATGGCATCTTTCCCATTGCCTTGAAATACATGTATGTTACTTAATCTTACCTACATACTTATTATCCAATATGAAAATATCCACTTAATTAGTTGTTGTAAATGTATAATTTTTTCCCAGACATAAATTTGTATCAACAAGCCCACTGTTTAAATAAAACAAAATAAAAAATAAAATAAAATATATCATGCTCAAGTATAAGACTATGCAAAGATGGTCTGGTTTGACATTGACTGGTTTACAATATAATCTTAAATTCCACTGGAGTGTTCCCCAATAAGTGCAATAAAAACAAATAGAATTTAAATCAATTAATTACTAGTACTAGTAATCATAAAACATTAAGGTTTTCATCTGTATCAAAATTTCACAAGACTGACTGAAAACTGCTGGGAAAAATGACCAGATGAGTGACGAGTAACATGCTCCATTCCTTAGTTACAGATATGGTGGGTCACAGGGGGATGGAGGTGGGTGGTGATTATCTAAATTTTCAAAACAAGTACACACTATGGTAAACCTTACTGTATAACTTATGTTAATCACATTTCATAAAGCTGATTCAAAAAGTGATAGCATTGACCCACCTTGGAGGCCGCCCACCATGAGGAACTGGACATCTTGACACCAAGAACATGTGTAAAACTGCTTGGGTTAATTCATTCAACATGACCTTTATGCACAAAACCTTTTCTTCCTTGTTTACAACTAACGCATTAAGTAAACATCCGTTATACTATTGACATATAACCTTTTCAAGACAATACAAAGTAAAGCTACAGGTGAGGTGCAAGGGAACTTGCCTCAACTATAATATGAGCTAATGTTCAATTTTGTGTGCTTGTTGTTGTTGTTCACATTCTGCATGATCAGCAAAAGAGTAAACTTTGGCTAGACATGTTTGGATAATGTCTAAAAACTGAGTAAATGTAACACTACCCCGGTAGCACTATCTGATAATATGTTTTCTCTGAAATAAGAGATATAACAGCTTCTACAAGCATAAGCTTCACAAATTACTACAGAAACATACAATGTACTATCTACAACACTAGTAAAAAGGCTTTTAAATTCGTCTTTGAACATGACCAGCTTTTAAGCCCATGGATCAAATTTAAGCAAGATATAAAGCATCTGGGTGCAGTGTTTGCCTCTTAGGAAAATTAGTTGCTGGACCGAAAGTCCAGCCATCTTGAAAAGTAGCTGGACTGAATGTCTGCCGGGTGGGAAAACTTCTCAGCCCGTTCTGAAAGTTGTCAGCCCTAGGCAGACAGTCTAGCCTTAATTTCTTACACTGTCTGGGTGACATTGATCACTTAAATATATATATATATATATATATATATATATATATATTGGTGGAGTTTAATCTGTACAGTTTGTCTGCACATAAAGGTATATAAGAGCACAGCTGCTGTTAGTACATGTAAAAGGCACCCAGAGTTAAGAGAGTCACTGGAAACTTGCCACTTTTATCAGCTTGTCTCTGCCACCTCCAGCATTATAATAACAGCTACACCGTAGGGTGGAAATATGCTTATAATAAAGGTGAGCTTCCCGCAGTGACTTCTCAAAGTCAGGGTGATAAAATAACAGAATACACTGTGACCAACTACTGCAATACAAGAGTGAATGAGCAATAATTTTGTAGTAACATCAAAATTTATATAATGGAAAATACACCTATACACCTAAGTAACTGTTAGCAAAACTAATGATGGCATACAGTACATCATATACAACTTGTACATGTCAATAATACATTTTCCTCAGGATTCTCCTAAGATGTTCTCCCACGTGTATTTTCTAATGGAAGCCTTTTCTCCATAAATCACATCATAAACTAGACTAGCACATGTATATATTTGAAGTGTGTACCAGTACATGGGGCTTTCCTCTGTTTACCTGGTCAAGTCAGTTACAGAAACAAGTTAACCTGAAAGGGGTCACACGGAACTTTCAATCACAATTATGAGCAAAACAGGTGAGGCATTTTTAACATATACGCTTGTTACTTCTGAAATAAATTTTTGTACCACTGAAAATTTCAGTGGTTTTAATTTTTTTCACACACCCACAAACACACACACACACACACACACACACACACACACTACTAGTAATTACATACCTTCACAGTCACGGTGGTGCTATATTTTAGATGTGTTTTAAAGTTGTGTGAATGGACCAAAAGAAAACATCTTTACTTATGTTTTTTTTTTTTTTGGTTAAATGAGGTCAGGTTATAAACTGGGTAATAATTGGGAAGAACAGAGATATTTAGGTAAACTATAATATTTATTCTAGGACAGATGCCATGTATTCTAGGACAGATGCTATGGTACAATGATATCTTGAAGAATGTTTAACCCAACTTGGCCAAAACTGGGTGACACTGGAATAACCTTTTTATCTTCAACGTATGTAAATAAAGTTCACCTTGAAATGCCCGAGTTACTATGTTTCTGAAGTTTTCAAGGTCCAAATTATCACTTGTTTTTTTAGCAATATCAAGGATGACTTGGCCTTTATGACAAAATATCTTAGAAATAAATTTTGTCGTTCTCTTAAGTTCACACGAGCATAATTGACACTAGGTTAAGAAAAAAATGTTGAATCTCACTGCCCAAATAATGGTTCAAGCTGCCTCTGTGGCTGTCAACTTCAGTAACTTCAATAACTATTCACAATGGAAGTAAATTCTTTGAAGTTTTAACACAGCTTGAGAAATGATAATGGATCCAATTCAGATGAATGAAATGGTATATTTGTCCTCAGTTACTACTTATATAATTCAAAACTGTCTGTGTGGGATTTATGGACAACATGCCATAATGGAAAAGTTTGTGTTTTTTTTTTTTTTGTTTCCTAAAAATGGCCAAATTTGCTTTCCTACACAATGACCAATATATAATGTGATTCTTTTGTCAGGGAGGGTCTAAAGCAACATTTTATCAGTGCTTTGCTAATTAGCCATCATTAAACATTTATCTTACTGTGACACAATGCCCTGATTGTGCTAGTTGTGATGCCTGGCTCAACCAAACACAATTAATCTGGAAAGAAATTGTAACCCGACCTTTTTTTTCCCTTTTTTCCCCAGTCTTTGTTATTATTTCAAAACTACTCTTCTATCTTTTTGTTGCTAAATTAGAGATACTTTATCTATTTTAGCATAAGATCAGGATTACATTATCAAGTTAAACCAGGTTAAACTAAATTTAGATGATGGTCAAGACAGGACAGTCAGGTTGTTGTCCAGATTGAAATGTCATGTCCTCAGCGAAAGGAGCAGCTGCAGTAGATGTAGAGCAAGGTACACGTATATCCAGTTTATGACAGTCTAAGCCTGTATTTGTTTATCCAAAGATCCAGCTTACTTTCTTAACAACTTTATCCATGACTGATTTGAGTCTTTTCAGTCTGATATGACAAGGATAAGTTTTTCTCAGCATGTTAGGGAAACTGCCCAACATTCATGCTGTCCTCTTAGTGGGTCTATATCCTGTGCTTTTTGCCTCAATACCCTCCATAAACAGACAAACACACATGCATGCACACACCCACATGCATACAACATATATTTGTACAATGTGTCAACCAATCATCGAAGAATTTACAAAGAAAAGGGTTGGTTAGCATCAAGCTCTCTTGATCCAGCTCTATGTATAACATTAAACTTTGTGTGAACAAGTCTTAGGTCTATTGTAATCAAAATGAAATAAACACCCAAAGGTAGTCGGTCACATATCCATGTTTGCATTGTGGATTACCACTACGTATGAGATGAAATGATCCATAAAAAAGGTTATCTCTTCATCAGGGGTGCCTCTCTTTTGTCAACAACAAAGAACCTAGAAAATATTCTGACAAAAGAAAATATTTCTAAATGATCT